GGTAGTCATTTCTTCCTTTGCTTCTTCCTGACCTCTAATATAAATCTTTATTATTGAAATTTTCTAAGATTCCCACTGTACTAAAGATACTCTTTAAGTATCTATCCTGATCTCTACATTTTCAGATCTCCAAAAGGCATGCACATACCACTTGACATTTCAACAAGTATCTCCCATCTCCTTACTTCCCTGCCTATTTATCTCTAAATGCAGGTATGCTTCTTAAAAATGCAGAAATATTGAGCACGCCATAAACTCATTTGCACTGATCATGCTGAGTTGATAAAATCCACTTCAATACACCTCAATCCCTTGCACAGGACAGCTCAAGCTACAATAAACCTGATGAAAACACAGGAGCAGATTCTCTCCATCACCCCTAACCTTAGGAAATTTCAAAGTCTAGGAACTATCACAAGTAGTATATTAACCAGAGTGAGGAGTAGATGAATCCATAACTACATGTAGCATTCACGTGACTGTTGGGTGTTTGAAGAGGGAAAGAGAGAAAATGGAATGACTTTAATCATTGTAAAAACTGTCATAGGAAACACATATGGATTCACACAGATCATTTCACAAAAACATTTTTTATTTCACACAGTTCTTTTTTGGAAACTTACAATGTTCTTGTGTTGGGGATCACTCAGAAGTAGCAGAAGAGCTATGAAACAAATGTCCAGAGAATGGAAGTTCATTGACCTTGGCCAAATCAGTAAAAATCTAAATTTAAAACAAATGTCTTGAGTTGGGTGTCCTTTCTAATTTCTTCTCTATAAGCATTCTCTCACCACATATGCTTCCAAGAAGTATGACCCTATCTTGTCTTCTTACACATATCCACCTCTCTATTCGTTCCAAACAGCTGGAATTTAATTGTTCTCAAGGCCTCAAAATTTGCTTAATGAATAATAAATAACTTTTGTTGAATTAATAATGTTTTCCCACTATTTGAAAAATATTTGTTTTCAGTGTGTCTAGTATATTCAAGGCCATTTATAAACTTTTGTTTAAGCACAGGGATAGATAAAAAAATAAAGAGGGTACACACAGGTTAAGATCAAGGGAAAATTACATAGAAATTTATAATAACCCTAATTCAAAACTGAAGATGTAGGTCAAATACAGGTATGGCATGCTCTGCACATTGAAGGAAACAAATACATTTGGAGTTGGAGGGCAGAACTCTAAAGGAGCTGTTTTTCCATAGGGAGGGACAGGACTTAAGAAGTAGAAACCATGATGGAAACACAAAGTCATGGAGGGAAGGAATTCCAGGTATTTTCCCCTGTTATCTAGTTTAAGGAGGGGTGTTTAGAATCTGAAGGAAAGAACATTAACTTGTGAAAGATGGCCAGGTCCTCTCATGATGTCATCCCTGCTGGGAGTCAGGAATTGTGTCCTACTTAAATTCTCCAGAATCTGACTCAACAGGGACTAAAGTCAACAGAGGGCAGTGGGGATTTGGTTCCTTAAAAACTCCAGCCAGAGTCCAGAAGTATTTGTCTGCTCAGCATCTGGGTCTTTGTATAGCAATGTTTAAACACAGACAGAAAGGTGTGAAGACTACTCTTACAGGAGGCACAGGACCTGAAGGCAAGGAGGAGGTTACTTCAACAGTCCAGGACAGAGGAGCAAATACAGAAATGAGTTGGGCCAGCAGAAATGAATAGAGTATTGCAGCCCAGGTGCATCTCATGAATGCAGTAGGGGCTGGAGAGATCGCTCAATAGTTAAGAATACATACAAATCTGAGTTCAGTTCTCAGCCTCCACATTCCCAGCAGCCTGTAACAGTAGTTCCAGTGTATCTGATGCCCTCTTTTGGACTCCACAGGCATCTGCATTCATGTTTGTGTGCATGGAAACACACACACACACACACACACACACACACACACACACACACTTAAAAACCAAATAAATGTTCCAATGATAATTTTAAAAGGATGAATAAACAGAGGCTGATGCCCCTGTTTGAATCTCAGGTTCACCACTTAACTATATACATAGAGACATGCTTATTGCAATGTTCTTAGAACTTTTAGTGTAAAACAAGTGCATACCATTGTTTAGTAGAATGTGTTTGTAGGAAAGATGGCTTTAGCACACAATAGGCTGCTGTGAAGGGAAAGCCAAATACATAAGTAAATGAAGCAAAATTAAAAATATTAAAGTAGCCAGGGATGAAAATGGATTGGAGAACAAATATATAGAAAAATAATAGCTGATGATACTGACATTGGTTGGGGTAGAGAGGATGGGAAAAAGCCTGGGTAAAACTGATGACTGTCACATTCTGGAAAGGAGAAAGAAGAAACGGAATTTAGAATGGATGGAAGGTTTAAAAGAAACCTCATTTTAGAGAGTGGGGTTAGGAAAACTAGAACATAGCAAAATGACATATGCCAGTAATCCCAAAATTCAGGAGTTTGAGGAGAAAAGATTGCTATCTTGGTGTCATCTTGGTGTCATCAAAACAAAAACAGAAATGTAAGCGAGTCACAAGGCAGCGTCAGGAAGCATGGTCAGAGACAGGCCCATGGAGGTGAAATGTCTTGTACTGAAAAGTGGGCTGACAATTATTAGCAATAATATATATTTCAAAATAGGTAAAGAAAATGACCTGTAATGATGCCACAGTAAAGAACTGAAAAATATTTGAGTTTAAGTACATGTTAATTATCTTGGTTAGATAGGTTTACAGTATGTTCAGTGTAGGAAAATATCACACTGTATTTATAAATATATACAATTATATATTTATATAATTAAATAAATTATATAAATTCAATTAAAAATACAAAACTTCCTTTAAAAGAAGCACACTCAACAATATTCTACAAAAGACAAAAATGGATGCCCATTTTCTTCTCATTTTTACAAAAACTGTAAGTCAGAAGTGACCATAAGTGGTTGGAAAGGTTTTGAAAGTAAACAGTCCACAAAAATAAAATCTTCTCAGCCAGGCATTGGTGGCACATGCCTTTAATCCCAGCACTCGGGAGGCAGAGGCAGGCAGATCTCTGCGAGTTCGAGGCCAGCCTGGTCTCCAGAGTGAGTGCCAGGATAGGCTCCAAAACTACACATAGAAACCCTGTCTCGAAAAAATAAAATAAAATAAAATAAAATCTTCTCATATACATGGAGAATTTTCTGAACACCAACCACTGTGCTCTTTTTCTATGTGATTGTTTTACTAAGTTTTCACAGTATTCACTGAGGTGGTCATTTTATAATTTATTTTTGACAATTTCATACATGTATACAACACATTCTCATCACACCCATCCCTCCATCCTTTCTTCCTCTCACTTTTGTCATTACCCCCTTGTTCCCCCAAGTCTCCAGTTCACTTTTATGCCTTTTTTATGCTTCATGATGCATAGAGTTTAACCAGGGCCACTAGCATGAGTGTAGGTGTGAAGCTACCTCCCCCCCCACCCCCTGCATGAGTAGCTCACCAGTGGCTACACCACTGAAGACAGCCTTGCCTGCAATAAAATCATGGCAGGGCCCCATGATCTTCTCTCCCATCTGTGTCTGAGTGTTTCCTGGCCCAGTCATGGGCAGGCCCTTTGTAGGCAACAGTAGCCGATGTGAGTTCATGCGTGCCACGATAATGTCAAGTCCATAAGAAAGCATTTCACAACTCTCCTCTGTGTTCTTGGCTGTTTTCCAACACCCCTTCTATTATGTTTCTTGAGCTTCTAAGGGTGATGCAGGTGTTTCACTTAATGAATGCTTAGAACTCGACAGTCATTTGTTCTCAGTACCTTGACCAGCTAGAAGTCTCTGCATTAACTTCGAAGAGAAACTTCTTTGATGAAGTCCAAAGACAGCACTAGTTTATGGGTAGATGCATAAATATTTATGAGGCAGGGGACCATAAGATGGTTCAGCAGATAATACCACTTGTCACCAAGCCAAATGACCTGAATTTGATCCCTGAACCCACATGGTGGAAGTGCTTAAGAGGTTCCACAAACTTTGACCTCTTGTGAAAAGAAAAGGACAATTCCTACTCAGTGTGAAACATCAAATAGAGGGTTGACAAGATGACTAAGTAAAGGCTCAGGTGCCAAACCTGATAACCCGAGTTTGAATGCCTGGACCCACATGTTGAAAGGAGAGCATTGATGTCAATCTTTCTCTGACCTCCACAGGGACCACAGCATGGCACATGCATGTGCATATGTCATAACACACACACACACACACACACACACACACACACACACACACACGAACAAAGTAATTGTCAAATGACAAAAAAACATTGGTTCCACTCTGGATGCGCACAACCCCACAGGCACACAATCTTGAAGCTCCAAACCCAATTCCGTTCAGTTTTCTGCAGGTATTAGGCAAATTTCCGTGTGCATAGTTTTTGGAATCAAACTCAAATTTGCAATCTCAACTACATGTTCATGATTAACATGGGAATTTCTGTGTATTCTTTTACGGATACCATCTCATATTATGAAACATTATCATATTCTAATTTGAAACTTGGAAATGTAATTTTTTGTGTATGGCACTCACCAAACAAATGATACTAAAGAGCATTTACTATTTACTGATCTAAACTAAAATCTTTCTTAAACCTCTGTCTATATTCCTTTTTTCTCATCTTGTTATACAGAAGGTCAATTTTTTTATTAACATGATAAGTATATATATGTGGTCTTTGATACTGAACTTAAAATTAAGCAATTTTTAAAAAGGGAAAAAAATTAACATGTTGTATTCTTATATTACTATTACCCAGAATTTGGAAATACAGAAATCACTTTGTTACCCACTGGGCTTGCATTGCAGACAACTTGTTGAAATGAATAAGACAAAATCTTTCCACTCAGAATAATAGTTTAAGGAATTTGCTTTAAGAATAGCAATGCATTTGTACAGATTTGTCTTCAACAAAACTAATTTTAAAAACATTTCTTGGGAGAGCCGGATGTGTGTCTTCAGATCGAAGCAGTTGTGGTGTTTATCACCTGGGAGCGAATTAAAAATGGGCGATTTTGAGAAAGGCAAGAAGATTTTTGTTGAGAAGTGTGCCCAGTGCCACACTGTGGAAAAGGGAGGCAAGCATAAGACTGGATCAAATCTCCATGGTCTGTTTGGGAGGAAGACAGGTCAGGCTGCTGGCTTCTCGTACACAGATGCCAACAAGAACAAAGGCATCACCTGGGGAGAGAATACCCTGATGGAGTATTTGGAGAATCCCAAAAAGTACATCCCCAGAACAAAAATGATCTTCGCTGGAATTAAGAAGAAGGGACAGAGGGCAGACCTAATAGATTATCTTTAAAAGGCTATTAATGAGTAATTAGGATGCCTTATTTATTACAAAACAAATGTCTCATGATTTTTAATGTGTACCATAATTTAATTCACACACCAAAATTCAGATCATGAATGGCTAACAATGTTTTTGTTGGACAGTCCTGATTTAAGTAAAACTGACTTGTAGTAAACTGGATACAATCTTTTTTAAAATAACAATTCCAGTTGTATAAATTCTATCACTGCTCTCTCTCTCTTTCTCAAGATAGGATTGGACTTAATTATTGAAGTTCTACTTTCCACAAAGATGGGGGTGTCCTCTCAAACCTATTGAATGGTTTTATACTTAAATTTATATAACTGGACATATGAGTATGTTTAAACACTGGGAAAATTCTGTTACTGTCTCAGAAATGAGAAGACTCAACCTGTGTTTCAGTTTGTATTCACTGGTCTGTTACAGGCAATGGCTAAACATCAGGAAGTAACTTGACTTGATGATGTCATTTTAATTAGAATTCCCTAAGTCAAAGGATGCTGCCTTTTACCACTGAAAGGCACTTACTGTGGTCTATGTGTGATATCAAATAAAGAGTATTTAGCACTTCTTTAATGGCTGATCTATTAAGTTAAAATACTTTTAGAAACCAGCAACTTAGATAGACCTTACTTTTTAATTCTTAATGATCTAAGACTAAGTTGTAATTCAGAATTGTCCTTAAAAGCCCATTCAGAACCACACAAAACTGGAACTTCTGTATATGTGTGATTGGTAGTGGCATTCTTTGCCAACTTATTAGATGGAAAGATTAAAATAAAGAAGATAATTTATATGTTATCAACAAGAAGATAATTAAAAACAACCACAGATCATAAAAAACAAAACAAAACAAAACAACAACAAAAACATTACTCCAGCCCTCTGAAGATACTGTTATTCCATTTAAGCTGTCCTCCAGTGATGCTTTCTGGTCACCTCTGGTGTATTTCAGTTTTATGCAGCTTAACCTCTAATCAGGCTAAACTAATGAAACACAATTTTTGCATCTTTTTTCAGTCCCCTTTGTCTTGTAAGTGCTGCAAAATAGGCCCTGTATTTAAGATTCAACATTTTTGTGTGCTAAAGGTATCTACCTGTTACCTTGCTAATGACTCCCAAGTTCAATATGTTACATAATGTGTAAGAACCCATAAACAAACCACTCACTTCTTGTAGACATCATTATGAAAACATAACATGATCATTTTAAAGATAGCCTCATTTATACATTCTGTAATGAGACTATGAGCAGAGTACCCCCAAATTCCCAGACAAGGTATATTGGGAGGAGATGAGTGGAGCTAAGGCAACTCAAAGCTTTGGAGCCTCTTGAGAGAGGCATCTACCAAGCTAGAAGTTAGAAGAGGGCCAGCTGCCATATATTCTCATTTTGAACAACAGTAAGCCTCTCAATGCCAACGACACCTCGGGAGATGCAAGTATGGTTAGGGGAAGTAATGTTGAGGAGTAAAAGGAAGATGGTATATATAATGAGAGAAAAATCTGAGCAGTATTTAGTAACTCTTTTCAACTTTTCACTCATTCTAAGATGGTTATGATCCATTTTCTCAGAAAGGAAGGAAAAAGAGAAGGAAGGAAAGAGGAGGAAGCACAGGGAGATGAAGGTCATCTAAACCTGACATACAGGAAGCCAAGGCCCTCTGTCATGCAAACACCCCTTGCTCACCTTCTCAGTCTGACAATATTCCATCAAGAAGCCCACAGTCCCACTTTCCTGCAAAACAGGCAGAAAGCATTTACACAGCTAAAGGATGGAGAGAAGAGCTTCAGTGCTATCTTTCTGGCTTCACGCAAGTGCTCTTCTCAGTCCCTAGCACCACTCACAGAAACCAAGTAGAACTTTCTAGAGCTGGCCTTGCATGTAGTCCGTAGACTTTAAAGCCTTTCTCTTCTGGTTTTGGTGGCAGCCAGAGCTAAAACTAAGAGAGAGAGAGTAACCATGAAACCTCGGAAAGAATGTCTGGCTTCAAATCTCACTTTGTCCACTCATATGGCAATATGGTTGTAAAAAGAGAGGTCAACTGCTCAGAGCTGTGTTCTGTTTGCACAAGTTGAGATTCTAGAACTGTGGCTGCCAACTGTGTCAAGGCCAGTGTTGTGATTTGTTATTGAGAGCCTGTTCTGAGCTTGAGGAGACAACAAACTGCTCTGATGCTCACAGTGAAGATGGCTATGTGAAATCCAGAATACTTATCCTAGCATCTGGGGGAGAACAGAAGTGGGGAAATTGTATATTTCTCCAATGGGCAGGTCAGAAAATCAATTTCCATAAATCTCTGCAGGAAAAGCTGTCATGAGTAGCTCCCAGCGCCCCCTTCCTCCGAAATAGATTTCATTGTCTCCCGATTCACTTTCTTTTTCATATACACGAAATAATGTGATTAAAATCCACAACCACAGATATCCTAAAAGAAATGTAAACTATAGCTTCTAGCATTTTCCCATAAGTATTCAAGTAGCAGACATTTTGCCTTATCAAAACATCAAGTTAGTAAAATTCAAAAGGTAATTCTGATTATTTTTGGCTCAGTCCTCTCTCAAATGCTTTATGAAATGTGTTAGTCAGAGGTGAAAGATTGGTCTGATACAAAATGAAATTTAGAAAATAGGGATCTAACTGACAGTCATCACCATGAATTCCTTGTTGTCTCCTGCTCACTAATTTAGGTACACTAACTGTCAAACACTGGAAACACCCCTGCGTTGATTATCTTACCAAGGAGCAATGAGGCCCACATTGAAGTATAACACATGCAGTGTGATCAGCTGAATGGCTGCCTTGGCTTTAAAGTCATAACATATCCAACTGAGAACTGGCTTCTTAAATCACTCTTCTTGTTCTTCCTTCTTTACTACCACATACAGCACTTGACCTTTATTGCTGTCTTAATTGGCTTGGATATTCTACATGTACATGACAAATCTGTATCTTTCACAATGCCATTAATCTGTCTTTCATTTTTAATATTACATTTTGTCATCTATCTTTACCAGGGTTAGTATTGCTGTGATGCAACATCATAACCAAAAGCAAGTTGGAGAGGAAAGGGTTTATATGACTTACACTTCCACATCCTGAAGGAAGTCAAGACAGGAACACAAACAGGCCAGTAACCTGGAAGCAGAAGTTAATGCAGAGGCAATGGAGGGGTGCTGTTTGCTGGCTTGCTCAGCCACCTTTCTTATAGAACCCAGAGCCTCCAGCCTAGGGATGGAACCACCCACAATGGGCTGAGCCCTCCGGCACCACTCACTAATTAAGAAACTATCTTACAGTGGCATCTTCTGGAGGCATTTTCTTTCTTTCTTTCTTTCTTTCTTTCTTTCTTTCTTTTTCCAGACAAGGTTTCTCTGAGTAGCTTTGGAACCTATCCTGGAACTCCCTCTGGAGACCAGGCTGGCCTGGAACTCACAGAGATCCACCTGCCTATGCCTCCCAAGTGCTGGGATTAAATGTGTGCACCACCAAAGCCCGGCCTGGAGGCATTTTCTTAAGTATATTTCCTTCTTTTTAAGAATAGCAGAAGTAGTGGAGTGGAGCCAGCCAGAGCCTAGAAGAAAAGCTGTATGTGCTGCGGAGGGCAGAGCTGGAGAAGTGATCCAAGCTACCTGGAGAAGCCAGAAGGTGGTAAGTGAATCCCAAATAATTGGGCATTGAGTTGTTTATACTGTCAGAGTTTGGTTTTGTTTGGTTCAGATTGTGATTGTGTCCTGGTTCTTCACTCTTGAAGATGGTATTTAATTTAATTTTGATTTTTTACAGGAGCCACAGTTGAAAGACTTAGAACTTTGAAAAGAGGTTTTGGATTTTTAGAGAGATTGAATGTTTTAAAGGCACTCAAATTTTAATGTGTTTGAATTTATAAGACTGTGGGACTTCTAACTCCTGGAAATGGGCAAAGAGATACCTTGTGGTGGTATAGTTCTTACATCAGCCAGGGGCAGAGCAGATGTCAGTCCTTTGTTCATCCTAGCTTGATGCCTAACTTGGTGGCCAAAGCTGTTTCATGCCTAGGGCACATTTAAAAAAAGACTGTGGGACTTCTAAAGTTATTTCTGTGAGATCTTGGGGATGAATAAGAAAGGTGGCTGGTTTATTGTGGCTCATACCTTCAATCCCAGCACTTGGGAGGCAGAGGCAGGCAGATGTCTATGAGTTCAAGGCCATCCTGGTCTACAGAGCTAATCCCAGGACAGCCAGGGTTACACAACACAGTGAAACCCTGTCTCAAAAAATAAAAAATAAATAAAATAGAACAAAAAGAAAAGAAAGGTGTGGCTTAGAGGAGATCTGTTCATGTGTCAAGTTGAAAGGGGGTCAGTTGTGCTGGCTGGACTAATGTCAACTTGAAAAGCAAACTAATTATCTGAAAGGAGAGAACCTTAATTGAGAAAATGCCTGCATAAAATACAGCTGTAGGGTGTTTTCTTAATTAGGGATTGATGGGGGAGGGCCCAGCCCATTGTGGGTGGTGCCATCTATGAGCTGATGGCCCTGGGTCCTGTAAAAAAAGCAGGCTGAGCCAGCCAGTCAGCAGCACCCCTTTGCATCAGCTCCTGCCTCCAGAGTCCTTCCTTTTGAGTTCCTGTCCTGACTTCCTTCAACGATGAACATTGATGTAGAAGTGTAAGCCGAATAAACCCTTTCCTCCCCAACTTTCTTTTGGTCATAGTATTTCATCATAGCAATAGTAACCCTAACTAACACACCATCTCTTAGGAAGAGCCATGTATGAGTTATTTTGGGAAAGCAAACCCCACTTAGAAGATTCTGGAACATATTGATTAGACTAGTTGATAACAGAGCTTATTTTTAAATTTGGTGCTGAGCAACTGAATACTGAACATTCAGAAAATAGAATATTATAGAAAAGGGTGTAGATTAAGAGCCAGGCATGGTGACACATGCCTGTGGACCCAGGTTTTTTAGGGGGGAGTCTGAGGCAAGAGTATCATTTGATTAC